TAAAGGAGGAGGGAATACTTTCCAACCCATTTTATGAAGCTAACAGTGCCTTTGTCTGTATATATTCCAGACAAAGCCTTATAGGAAAAAACAAGCTACAGAAACAAACATTAACAGAATCATGAACAAAAACATTTTTTCAAAATGTTAACTAACAGATTTGTGTACTATATGAAAGGAAGTGCGTTGCTAACAATGATAGTTTATCTCATCCAGGCACTGAGTCAACGTTACAAAATCAAACACCAATGACCACATATTAACGGAATAAAAGGGGAAGGAGATAGGATTATCTCAGTAAGTAGAGGGAAAGCATTTGGCAAAATTTAACACTCACAATACAAATTTGCAGCAAGTGAAGAGCGGGAAGGCACGTCCTCAGCTTGATAAGGGCACCCAGCATCAGTGAGGAGGCAAGAATGCCCGCTCTCGGCACCCGCCGGCTGCACCGAGCACTGATCGTGGTAAAAATGGGAAAATTGTTCTTCGTCTAAATGGAAAAGTTAGCGTCTTTGAGAAAATGCGAAGGAAAGGCCCACAGTGGGGGACAGGATTCACTATACGCATGTTTGCCAAGGACTCGTGTCCTATTATATGAGGAAGTCACTAAGTAAGAGTAACTGTGGGCTGAATACTTGGAGAGCCCTTTAAAAGGGGGGGGGGGGGGGCGCACGCCCTGAAAACAGGCTCCACATCAGGAGTCATCGGGCAGGTGCAGATAGTCGGGGTGATGCCCCGAGAGGGTCCGGCAGCACCCAGTGCCGGCATGTCTGAGGACGCCTCGTCCCCGAGAGAGGCCTTGCCCTGCCACGCCACCGTGTCCATGTCAGCACGAGGGCTGGGACCCTGCGTCTGTGCGTGGTTGAGGCGCTGGGTTCAGATGTGACCAACGGAGGCTGGGCTCCGTCCCTGTGCGCGGGGTCCGGGCCTGCGGTGACGTGCGCCCCTCTCTGGTCTGGGTTTACTTTGGTTTCCTATCCAGTGGGAGAGCAGCCCGAATAACAGGCTGTTCTCTCAGCCCACACTTCCCGCAGGAGCTTGGGGCGGGCTGCGCCTTCGCAGGTGCGTTCTCTGAGGTCACTGGCTGAGGTGGCAGAGAACGGCTACAAACCAGTTAGCTGTCCTGCTGACACGTCGTTTCCAGGGGCGAAATGTCGGTTTGTCTAAGCGGGTGGGCTGTCCTGTCGAGATGCGCTCACTGGGGAGGCCTCGACTGAGCTTGGCTCCTTGATGTGAGCTGCAGCCCATGACTCATCTCTTGGGGGCCTGGCATCAGTTCCCAACACGCGGGGTGAAAAACAGCTTCTTTTATGAAGTGCGAACAGAAGAAAACTTGTTAATTCCCTAATTGTTCGCCCCTGCCCCTGACATGAGCTCCGCACCCGGCAGTGAACTTGAGCTCAGTAATCACATGCTGCCCATCGCTCCCGAGGTGTTCCACTCTGTCCTCCTCTCCTCGTGACCTTGCCCTGTGTCATTTTTTTTTTAATTTCAGAGAGGAAGGGAGAGGGAGATAGAAACATCAATGTTGAGAGAGAATCATTGATTGGCTGCCTCTTGCACGCCCCCCACTGGGGACTGAGCCTGCAACCCGGGCATGTGCCCTTGACCAGAATTCAACCCAGGACCCTTCAGTCTGCAGGCCAACACTATCCACTGAGCCAAACCAGCTAAGGCTGCCCTGTGTCATTCTTAAATGACCTGCTTGTCATGGGTCACTTATGTTATAACATTAAATGAATTTATATAAGAATTTATTTTGTATCATTTCCTAATTCATTGGTGTGAATGACAAACCTTTAACTAGGGAAGCATACCCCAGTTCCGCCACGACTGGGGTAACCATCACTGACTGCGTAAGCCTCAGTTTTCAGCACTGATTTTACTTCCTTCAAAGAACATCTTACCCGTTTAGCATACCTGAGGATTCTCTCCCCAGGAAAAGGAGATGTTTCTCTTGCATTGAATAAAGGTCCTGAATCCTTACCCCCCCCCCCCCCCAAAGAAACCTGGTTTTTAAAAATGAATGTACAGTTAGTTGTGCCTGATTCCGAGCAGGATTGTGTCCTGGGCAGTGGGCCCGTCTCCCTGGTTTTCTCGGCTTCCGGGAGCCACTGCTCCCTCCTCGCTGTGGCCCCTGGATTTCCTGCAGCGAGCAGCAGGCCATTGCCGACTGTCGCCATCACTCCCTCGCCACCATGACAAGTCCCTGTGAGCCAGCCCTATGCAGTCACCCCGTCCATTCGCAGTCACCCTTGGAATTGGGCCCTGTCATCTCCATTGTGCAGATGAGAAAACTAAGTCTTGGGGGTCCATGACTTACTCTGCATCGCACTCGTAGGTAAGTGGCCCAGGGAGCGCTCGCTCTGAGGCTCACTTCCGGGTCTGCCCATCGCCGAGCACCTGCAGTGCCTGTTCAGACCTTCGTCCCCGCCGCCTCGGTGCTCGAGGAGCGACAGGAAGCGGTCACGCCTGGCCAGTCGCGCACAGGCCTGGAGAGCTGGCCTCCGGGACGTGGGCTCTGACAGCGCGGCTGGTGCGGAGCGACCACCCTGCTGCGTGTCCCGGCTTCTGGGCCTTTTCAGAGGGAGCAAATGCTTTTAGAAAAAGAAAAATCTGTCATGAATGCATGCTCACCATTTCCAATTGAAATGTAAAATTAACGTTTTTCTGCTGAAAGTCTTGGCTCCTAATGATTAATTGCCCGTTGCTTTAGCCTGAATATAGAAATAATAGTCCAAACAGCAGAGCCACTGCATCCTGCTCAGGGCGAGTGCGTGGAAGGTTTCTGTGGGTTCTCTGTGAGCTCAGGGCGCATCTCACTGAGATGTGAAGTTACAATCCCGATCTAATTCTGTGAAGTAAGTTTTCTTGCTTTTATATGTCATCAGGTTAATTTGTTTTTATAACTATGAATTTAATTTTTAAAATTATATAAACCATACACAGGATTCCAAAGCGAGAATTGTACAAACAGGTACATTCACGGAGGCCAGCCTCCATCCTTGTTTCTTCCACATCATTCTCTTCTCTGCGCTCTGAGAAGCCCCTGTGTTGTGTGTTGGAATCCAAGAAGATCTGTTTATTTTGCCTCCGTCGGCAGCACTCATGTGACCGCCGTGCGCTCTCCCAGCTCCGTGGAGTCTTCCGTGTCACACCGGAGTTCAGTGACCAGCTGGGCTGGCGCACGGTGAGGTGTGGCCACGGTACTTGTTATAAATACTGCCGGCACTCGGAACCATTCAGCAGTCATCAGGGAAGTGCACATGGACCACGATGACATACTGCTTCACGCCCAGGACGGCTAAACCGACAGGCAGCCATAGCAGCTGTTCCCGAGGAGGGGGCGTGGGAGCCCCGCGCGCTGCTGGTGCGATGGAGATGGGGCAGCCACTTGGAAAGAGTCTGGCAGCTCCTCAAAACGTTCACTACGGAGCTACCTAAAAACCTAGTAACTCTGCTGCTGCCAGGTACAGAGCCAAGAAATTGAAACACACGTGTCTGCTCAGAAACATGGACACGGATGGTCACAATAGCATCATTATATCCAGATGGCTGAAATAGCTCAAATGCCCATCGCCCGGTGAGTGGATAAATGAATGTGGTGCATCCACAGTACCGATGGAATTGATTCAGCCATCACAGCGAATGGAGCACTGCCGCCCGCCACCGCCGGGGAGCTCAGAGCCTGTGCTCAGTGAAAGGAGCCACCCGGCTTCCGATGGCGTGAAACCTCCAGATCAGGCACATCCCTGGAGGCAGGAAGTGGATGGGTGGTTGCCAAGGACGGGAGCGGGGGAGGGAGTGTCTGCTGCTGGGTATGGACTTTCTTCTTGGGGTGATGAAAATGTTCTAAAATTTGATAGTGGTGACAGCGACACAACTTGGTGAATATACTAACGTCCACTGAATTAAAAGGGTGGGTTTTCTGGTAGGATTATAATCTCAATAAAACTTGTAAAAATATACTTTGTGCTGCAGCGAGTCATCTGTGCAAACATAATTTCGCATGACCACGGTGCGTCTTCTGTCTGCAGTCCCGGCCCAAAGAGTGAAGAGCTCAGGACTGTGCTGCGTGCGCCCGGCACTGCTCCATGGCGGCGCTCTCAGCGTGGGCCCTGCTGTGCCCCGGGCCCTGTCCCCCTCCCGCAGTGTATGTCAGAGCCGGCGTTTGCCACTGACAGCTGAGGCTGGTGCCTCGGGGTGGCAATGACGTGCCTTCCTCTTACTGTGCACAAAGTCAGCATGTTCTGGTATCTTTATGGTCCACCTGCATTTCTTTCTTTTCAGGGTCATTTCTGTTCATGTATTTTATCCATTTTTTATTGGATTGTTGGTCTTAATTTTTTTAAGTTCTTTATGTATTAAAATAATAAACCGTTGCCCTAACCGGTTTGGCTCAGTGGATAGAGCGTCGGCCTGCAGACTCAAGGGTCCCAGGTTCGATTCCAGTCAAGGGCATGTACCTTGGTTGCGGGCACATACTCATCGATGTTTCTAACTTTCTATCCCTCTCCCTTCCTCTCTGTAAAAAAATCAATAAAATATATATTAATAATAATAATAAACCGTTGCCTATGATAGCTTATAAATCATTTTTCCAGTTTTCATTTGCCCTCTTAAAAAACCGAGGCACACCTGTTCTGTTGCTTCTGGATTTTGAATCCGAGTTCGAGAAGCTTTTCCTACTCCGAGCTTAGAAAAAGGGCTCACGAGCTTGTGCTAGTGAACTGTAGTAACCTCAGGCCCAGCTGGAGTCTGTCCTGGTGAAAGCGATCTGCTTTGTCCTGGGTTGTACGGCTGCCGTCGCCCCCACATTTTTAGGAAGGGGGAAAGGGAAAGTATCACTTGTGCTTACACGCCTGTTGTTAAATATTTCCGGGTTGGTAATTGCACAGACAGTACAGCGACGAGGAGGGGAAGAAAACAGAGAAACATCCCCCGTGATCCCCGGCGCTCTGGGCTGCTGTGTGCGTAACTCCGTGTTCTCCTCTCTGCAGGTCAACGAGCTGGACGGCATCCCCCTGATCCTGGACAGCTGCAGCCCAGACGACAGCAACCCCTGTATCCTTCGTGTGAGCCCCCGCGTCAGGCCGCAGGCCGCAGCCCGCGCCTCTGCGTGCCCCTCCCCCCGCCTCCCCCCCCCCCCCCCCCCCCCCCGCTCCTTTGCTGAGGAGCTGCCTGCTCCCCGTGGGCTTGTTCCTAAGAAGGAGGCCCCTTCTCCGGCGGCCGGACTGTCCCCGGCAGCCTGTGCAGGTCGGGCCGGGCTCCCGGGGGGACGGGATGTTACAGGGAGAGCGTTGCGGTGGCACCGAGCTCTCGTTGTGGCAAGTCCTGTTCTGTGACCCTCTGTGCCTGAAGCTGCGGCTCTGGCTCTCGTCCTCGCCTGTAATGCGGGTGTGTTCTGGGGGGGGCCGGCACGCGTGTCCCCAAGGAGTGGCACTGTAGGAAGCAGGTCTAGTGCAATGACGAGGAAGCCCAGAACCCATGCCGCCTGTTTCGGTTTGAGAGAGAAACTTTAATTTCTGGAGCTTCCCTGGTGAGAGCCCTTCTCCGCACGGCCTTGCACTGACTGCGGGTGGAGAGGGGCAGACAGGCTGCTGTGGGGGCTTGGAGAGTGGAACCCCACGGGGACCATGAGAGCTGGCCTAGGATGGAGGAGATGGGGGGCGGGGGGTGCATTTTAAAGTAAAATCCCTCACTGGTTTCTGTCAAGAACAGAAAAGGAGCCCTAGCTGGTTTGCCTCAGTGGATACAGCATCGGCCTGTGGACTGAAGGGTCCCGGGTTCGATTCTGACCACGGACACAGGCTCAGGCTGTGTACTCCATCCCCAGTAGGGGGCGTGCAGGAGGCAGCCGATCAGTGATTCTTTCTCATTATGGATGTTGCTAACCGTCCCTCTCCCTTCCTCTCTGAAATCAATAAAAATATATATATTTTTAAAAAGAACAGAAAAGGAGCTGATGAAAATCATGTGTTTCAAAGTAAGTGGACGGAAAATGCTTACTTGTGCTAAAGATACTGTCATTTGTCTGATTAGCAATAGAGATCTCTCCTCTCAGAGCGCACGGAGCCATAGCTGCTCAGGGAGACAGGCCTAGAGCCTCGCTCAGGGGCAAGCAGCTGGCTCCGTCGCTTCATGATTGGGGCTCGGGCTGCACTCGCTGCAGAGCTCCGACTCGGCTTAGCTCCAAGGCTGGGAGGAGAGAGAGAGAGAGAGGAAAGCTTTCTGCCCAGGAGAGCAGGGAACGAGAGGTGCAGGTGCAAGGAAAGTGGTTTATTACGAAAAAAGAAATTCACCCAGGTTCACTCTCATGGCCCTCGGACTGCCCTTCTAGGGAGATAAGCTTTGTCTCAGGGCCTGTGGCTTTCAGTGAAGACCAGACGACTGGGAGGCTGTTGCCCACAGCACGCCAGCTACGGGGCTCCTGCGGAGGCCTCTGCCCGCCCCCCCCCTCCCCCGTCCTCACTCGCTCACTCACTCAGCTCTTCAGAACCTCGCGGTCCTGCTGTGCACGCGCACACTTCCCCTTCCCCGCTCCCGGCAGCGCCCGAGCCAGACCCCGTGTCTCACCTGCACTTCGTAGGTGAGCGATGCACTGCGAGTCCCGGCCCCTTGTCCCAACGGTCAGGCCGGATTTGCACTAGGTGTGGGCCTGCTTCCTAGTCACTGGCCTGCACTGCCTCCTCGCCAGCCACTGGGAGGGCACAGGCACGACAGAGAGGCTGCAGGAGGCTGTGCCGTCATCCGGCAGGAGGTGACCTTGGCTGGAGCCTGATGGGGAGACAGTGTGCTCTGGGTATTCTCACGGCTTTGAAGAGCGTCACCTAAACTTAACCTCTAGACAAGCTCTTCTACTGAGTATCAGACGTGTATCTAACGCCCCGTTAACATTTGGCTGTGTGTCTTACCAATGTCCCCAACCTGACACGTCCGGGTGAGACTTCCTCCCTCTGCCCAGCCAGCCTGTCTTGGTCAGCGGTGCCACCTCCGCCGTCCAGTGGCCAAGGCCAGAAGCCTGGGGGCCACGTGCCGTGCTGTTTCTGCCGAGTGAGAGGAGGAACATCCATGAGCACAGTGGTGTGTGTGCGTGTGCGTGTGTGTGGCGTGTGTGTGACGTGCGTGCATGTGTGGCGTGTGTGTGGCGTGTGTGTGTGTGTGTTTTGCCAAAAGAAGTTTCTCCCAAGAGTTCTTTCTTTTATGAACTCATTAAGCTTGGCTTGGCAATGACATTATTTCACATTGTTTGGTTTAACCTCTTCAAATAATTAACAACAGGCAAGCTCATAGTGAATTTTCATTTCAATGGTTTATGTTAAAAAGCAGTGGATGTTTTGGGTATGCTTAGACCAGGAGCGGTTCTGATGTTGCATAGCAGTTAATAACAATACCTCCGTTCTCTGGTCACTGGGTCATCGGGCCATGCCCATCAGTCTCCTCCCTGGGACGGGGAGGGCTTGTGCGGCCCCTGGACACCCCATGGGACTCTGCGACTGGCCACCCGTGGGCATCAGGAACTCCAGGCTGCGTGTCAGACCTGTCCAGGTGGGACAGGCTGGGGGGCCACTGACTGCCCGTGGCGGGGGCAGTTCCAGGGGCCGGTGGGGATTTCCAGTGTCAGGAAGACCGTCTCCAGGGTGGCTGGCGGGTGAGGAGCCCTGGGCTGCTGCTGCTTCGCGACACGAGCCCGCGGCCCAGCTGTTCGCTCGCCGCGCACTTGTGGATCCCGCAGTAATGACACAGGAGCAAATGCCATCGGAAAATTCCAGCTCCGCGGCCGCAGAGGCCATTTCGTATTTGTCAGTTTATTGTGGCAAGTGGGACTTTTTGTTGTTGTTTCCAAATAGAAACAGCTGAACTTTATTTGAAATGTTTTTCTTTCATTCTTTTTTGATCTGTTTTGATCAGCGTCCTTGATGTGGCTTTTTTTAATGTTGTTTTTATTGGAGGGGGAGGGGACAGGGATAAAATGAGAATCCAAACAGGCTTTTGTTTTTTTCTGTTCTTTTCTTTCTTCTTTTTCCTTCCTTTTTTCTTTACCTTTTTTTTTGTATTGAAATACCTCATTTGAAAGTTTCACAGGCATACAGCAATGTCACCGTTAGTGGGAATAATAAGCAAACTGTTCTTCTTTGTAGTCCTATAGCATAGTGCCCACAGCATCGTCCCTGGAGTGGACAGACCCTGATTCTGCCACTTCTTAAATTCTAAGCACCTCCCTGAGCCCTCTGAGCTTTAGCCTCTTTGCCCCACAGGGTATGTGAATGTTTGTAATTGCCCAGCGTTCAGTTTCTCAGCAAATACATCTTCTTATACAGAGACCCTATGATAGCTCTTACTCCCTAAGAGAGAGGTGTAAATGTCCCTCCATGCTGAGTCATGTGAAAACTCCAACAGTGATGATGGTGATGGTGATGATGATGTCACAGAACAGAACGGAGAGCTCACACACAGGTTCACAGCTACACAAGTAGGTGCCAGTGCAATCTGGTGAGAAAAGGACAGTTTTTTCCATAAATAGTGGGAGACAAATTAACAGGACATGCTGGGCCCTGGCCGGGTGGTTCCGTTGGTTGGCGCATCACCCTGTACACCAGAAGGTGGCGGATTCGATCCCCAGTTGGGGCGCGTATGGGAAGTGACCAGTTGATGTTTCTTTCTCTCCTTTGCCCTCTAAAATCAATAAAAACATATCCTCAGGTGAGGATTTTTAAAAAAAATCCATAATGGGAAAAACTCATCACCCTATGTCAATCCTTTCACAACCGTTAACTCAAGATGAACCATAAACTGCAACATGAAAGGTAAAACCAAAAGGCTTAGTAAGGAATCAGAAGAATATGGCTGTTGTCTCGGGTTAGCTGAAGATTCTTAAAACAAAATGTAAGAATTGTGGCTGAAAAGCACTAACTGTGAGGAAAACCTGTGGAAAGGTAATTGCATTGCGTAGGCCCGTGGTCGGCAAACAGCAGCTTGCGAGCCACATGCGGCTCTTTGGCCCCTTGAGTGTGGCTCTTCCACAAAATACCACGTGCAGGCGCACACATACAGTGCGATTGAAACTTCGTGGCCCATGCGCAGAAGTTGGTATTTTGTGGAAGAGCCACACTCAAGGGGCCAAAGAGCTGCATGTGGCTCGTGAGCCGCAGTTTGCCGACCACTGGCGTAGGCTGACAAAGGCCTCATAGCCATAGCGTGTAAGACAGTGGTTCTCAACCTTGGCTGCACATTAAAATCACCTAGGAATTTTTTTAATATCCTGATTTCTGGGCCTCATCCTCCGGACATTCTGTTTCTTTGTGATGGGGTGGGACCACAACATTAGTAACAAAGAAACAGAATTTTCGGAGGATGAGGCCCAGAAATCAGGATTTTAAAAAGATTCCCAGGTGATTCTAATGTGCAGCCAAGGTTGAGAACCACTGGTGTAAGGACTCCTGCCAGACAACAAGGAAGAGACAGTTCAGGCATTTAAAGTGGCCGCAAGACACAGGCAGGCACAGCACAAAGAGGAGCTGCAGTGCCCGGTGACCGCGGGAGAGCTCGGCTCCGTGGGCATCAGGGAGGTGCAGCGGCACCACGTGGGCCCAGAGGGGACTGGAGCCCTGGCAGGGCCTGGAGTGGTCCGAACATGCCACTTCATGGCACCCGGCCTGGGAGCCAGTAGGTCCACTCCCAGGTATGTGCCCAAGAGGAATGCGCATGTGTGCCCATCAGAGGGCATGTCTAGCCGTTGTGCCCCTGGCCAGGGCGAGCAGCGTCTTTCTTGCAGGAGTTAGTGTTCACTGTTCTCTGTGCATGTTGCAAGTTCCAGACGCTAGTGCAGTGGTTCTCAACCTTCTGGCCCTTTAAATGCAGTTCCTCATGTTGTGGTGACTCCCAATCATAAAATTATTTTCGTTGCTACTTCATAACTGTAATGGTGCTACTGTTATGAATCGTAATGTAAATATCTGATATGCAGGATGGTCTTAGGCGACCCCCGTGAAAGGGTTGTTCGACCGCCAAAGGGGTCGCGACCCACAGGTTGAGAACTGCTGCGCTAGTGCCTCATCTTGGAG